AGCGAGCAGCCAAGGTCATTAATATGTACCCACCTAGAGATTTGGACCACCGAGAAAGAGCAGGGGTGTAAAGCTGAAATAACCCAGATCTCACATTTAGACTCTGGAAGCAGTCTGGAGGCTTTGCTTGGGAATTCAGCTTCAGAGGCAGCTGTTGGCATGGGCTGTAGGACAGACAGCACATGCACTGACCGTGCAGTACGGGCTGACAACTGCACCAGGAACCCACAGCACGCCAACCAACCAACACCACAGACCACACTTTTTCTTGCCCTCTGGATATAGTGTGAGCGCATTAATGTGGTAACAGTATATCCTTCAAATTTGACCTCCTCACTTTCCAGAACTGCTTATGAATACGATTTTTGGTTTTCTTCATTACTCAAACTTGCTAATGCACTTCTTCCAGCAAGTATTCAGAATCTATTCTTGCACACTCATGAAAGTCAAGTCATACCTCACTTGTCTTCTCCTCGACCACCCTTATGAGAAATCATTTGAGCCTAGAATTTAAAAAAAAAAAAATAGGGATTCCATTCTAGCAGAATGCATGCAAATCAGGCCCTTATCAGAATAGCAACATTTGCTATTTTAGATTTTTTCTTCTTTTTTTCCCCCCGGCAATAGCTGACCAAAGCAAACGAGCATACGTTCCTATTACTCACAGGCTTTCAGTCAAGTCTCTGGTAGCATATGCTGCAACATAACATGAGTAGGAGCAGCAGAATCTTTCCCCTAAGCAATTCTTTGCACCAAACAGCTTCCCAATGAAACAGTTTGCCACGACTTCATGTTTTTATAGGTTTTTTTTTAATTAGTTCAGCTGTTAAACTTAACAACGAGCTGTCAAGATTGGTCCAGAAATTTAAGACTGGTTCAGACGCACCTTGAGCTCTGGCTATAAAAATAAGCCTCCAGCATCAGCCAATAAAACAGCAGCAGCTTCAGCGAGTTTCCAGAGGGCTAAGAAAAGGAATACCCACCCTGAATATCTGAAATATCAGTTAAAATCTCTGTTTGAAGGCAGCTGGTGAGAAAGACAGGAAGAGTCCTGCTGGCAGACTTCACTTCTGAGCGGTGGAAAACAAGAGAATACAGTGTGCCACGGAAAAATATCTGGGCAGGCAGGAATAGGCTTGTGAAAAACGTGCTTGTGCAAACATACTCAAGTGAAGAACCTCATGGAGATGGAGATCTGAGCCCACCAACAGATATAATATTACATCTTAGTGTCTGATACCCCCCAGAGAAGACCTTTATGTGTATCCTACTTCAAGGCCACTAAACAGCATGTCACTGCTTTTCTTCCCAGCTGCCCCACACATGTTTATGGGAAGGCTAGTAGGTATAGTAATTGTATTCTTTAGATGTAGGATTGCTCCAAAACGTACACAACCGTTTAGTCAGACCTGACATCATAATACCATGCTTCTCTTATAGCCTGCTAAGTTATTTAAGTTTAGAATGCACTGTAAATCACAAAAAAAAAAAAAAAAAAAAAAAAAAAAAAGGATTTACACAATGATTATGTTTCCTGTGAAAGACCCGAGTGGGAAATCACAGTCTTGAATACAAAAGATCAAATCTAAACTGCACATCAGCCAGTGCAGCCCAGCTCATGTATTTTGCTTTGCATCCTAGTATGTTGGTTCCTGGACTGAAGGATGTTTATGTGAGTAAGCAGCATGGAGAAAAAGCGTAGCTTTTGAGGAATGGATGCTAAATGCCATTAAGTAAGGAAACAAAATGAAAACTGAAGTCATTTTTTGAAAAGCATTGGGAACGGACTTTAATAAAATTAGCAAAGACTTGTTCTGACAGGTAGCTATCAAAAGCAAAGAAAATGAATTATTATGCAGAACGGGTATTTTACAGGCAGAAGGATAAGTTGCACAAAGTTCTGCTGCTTTTTTTTTTTTTTTCAGAGTGAGGAGGACAACAAGTACCACAGAAGAAATAACTGAACGAAGTGCACGAGGATAAGAAAATAGAAATCACTGCATCGAACCGCTCCAGAAATGCAAATTGTTGTGAAGCCGTTTGCATTAGCAAAAGCCAGAGAAACTGGTCATGTGAAATGACATCTGACACCAATCATTTCTAAGCAGTGATTCAAATCAGAGGTGGATAACTGCTGATGGGAAAATAGCAAGCACCAAATAACAAGCAAAGGAGAAGCAGTGAACTTAATGCTTAATGGAGAGGTACTGGAAGAAAAACATGACACTGATGTACAGTCCCTTACGCAGACAAAAATTCAGTCATAGATTTTATTGACATCTGCAGAGGAAATGCTGAGTCACAGCATGAAGCAGTGATTGAGCACCTGGTGGAAGGCAGGGCCAACCCAGGGTAGCTCAGGTGCATACAATGCAGCTGAGTGATCAGAAGAGGTGGAGCCAGGATCCACCCCTTCCCTGGCCTCATTTAAGGGCTGGTGGTGGAAGAGAAGGGCTCTTATCTGGAGATGTCTATGTTCCTGAGGATTTTACAGGTCTTTTAAAGGTAAGAAATTTCTTTCTTTTCTGCACCCACTGCTGTTGCACCTGAGCATGTTCTCTGTTGCTGCTGCATTATTGCCACCAGCTATGAAGCATTTTGAAGTCCAGCAGCGCTCTCCTGTGCCCTGCAGAAGTCCCCTCATGGTTATAAGCGTAAGCTGCAAATCCAGATCAGGGCACAGCTGCGAAGAGATGGTTTTCACAGCTATGTAATAATGTATGTATAGTTACATAAAGCCATGTCATCAAATCCATAGTTGACAATAGTGCCTTTGTTGACAAATAGAGCAAGTTTTCAGCTACAAAACACTATCAAATGGTGTTCTTGCACTCCTTGTATCTGCTGTAGTTTCTGTAGAAATAAATAGGAGAGATTACTTCCAGAGTAGTCTATTTAACTATATGGGAAGATGGAAGTCAACGGAGTCACAGGGTGAGATGTTACTCGTCTTGGCTGTTGCAAATGATTTCTCCAGAGGCTATAATTTTGTTGATGAACTTGCTCATTGTAACTCATTTTGCACAACAGTCATGCTCATAATTCATTCTAAAGATATCTGTACTTCCATGGTTTGCACTAGGTCCTGGCTAGCCGTCCTCCAGGGGGTAACGTGTCCTGTGGGGCTCTCTCAGCACTCTATAACGCTGTGCTTAGGGATATCAGCTTATCCAAGAGAAATATCTTCTTTCAGAAGATGCTGTAGTCTGGATTTAGCATTGAAGGATCTCATTACCCAAGTGAGACCTGAACCAGTGGTGTGACCCGGGACTGAGGCAGGGTGTCCAGCATGCTCTGGCAGTGCCTTACAGTGCACGTGCACTCAGTTCAGCAGAGAAATAGATGCTGGGAAGCTGGGGCAGTTGCAGCTGTCCCTCCATATCCTCACAGATACCTCGATACCTTTTCAGTCACAAGCTGAGGGTCTTCATCTCATAACTGTATATTTGGATGTCAAACCTCACCTAAATCCTTCTTTTGTTAATTTAATCCCTTACTGAGTCTAGTTCTCTGCCTCTCTGTGCTTTACTTCACTGTAAGGCATTACTGTCTTGAGGGTTCAAGCATCTGGGAAGAGAGTACCAGCTATCTTCAACTGGCAGTAAGAATGATACAGCAAAGCCACAAGATGAGTCCAGGGCTCTCTGATGCAAGCCCATGCAGCAAGAGTGGGTCAGAACCACTGTGCTGTAGAGGTATAAAACGTTATCAAAAAATTACTTTCCCAACAGTAGCTTGCAAACAGTACAAACACGTCATTCAGTGGCTCTTCTAATTGTTTTCTATTGGCATGTTTGATGGCTGAGAAATTTTGCTTACGAATCTCCCTCTCGAACAGGAGAAAGGAAAGCAGGTAAGAGTGAGCATTTGGGACAGACCCACATCAGGAGACAGGCTTGTTTAAGAGTATTAAAATCACTGTTATGTCAATGTAACTAGACAGGCAGTATGCAGTCCCTGGCTATTTATATCTCACAAATAAGGCAAGCAGACAGCTAATATAGCCGCGGGCCGGCAGAAACAGAGCAGTGCGGTTTATTAACAAGCCTAGGTGGACGTGGCACTTGATACATCCGTGTGTGAAATGATTTTTATCATTTACATGCTCAAAAAGGTCACGGAAGCTTTAAGTATGAAATGGAAATAAAATTAAACCTTGCTGAAGATAGCAGGATCCCTCGGGCCCTTGGAGGCTGTCAGCACCTTAAACAGCAGTTGTAGAGAGAAGTGGACTGAACCACTGGGGACCTCGGTCCACAGGAAAAAACAACAGTGCCATCTTTCCAATGTTAGAGAAAGTAACAGCCATTTAAAAACAGAGGGCAGTTATCAAGCAATAGGGAAAAGTAGCCACCTTTGTACAAACTTCCGTATGTAGACTTTCTGGCATATGAATTGAAACACCGTTCAACCTAACATATTGCAATTAAAATACTATCTTCTCTGGAGATGTTCAAGACCTGCCTGGATGCCTACCTGTGCGACCTGCTGTAGGGAACCTGCTTTGGCAGGGGGGTTGGACTCGATGATCTCTGGAGGTCCCTTCCAACCCCTACAATTCTGTGATTCTGTGATTCTGTGATATTGGATAGCGTTATATCAATTCCATTGACCTTTAGACCTCATCAACTGGCTAATTAGGCAGCAAGTAATTTAAGCTTGAGGAGAGGTGTTAGTGGGCTTAATACACCTGCATATATATGTAGCAGAGATAGCTTTGAGCTGTGAAAATGAAATGAAAGAACTGGCCCTGCATCATCATATGTTACATATTGTGCTTTACCCTTTTCTCAGTTGGAAATATTAGCCATGACATGCTATGTGCTTGCTGAAGCCTGAGAGAAGTCCCAGAAGTGTTGGCACGCTCATCTTGCATTCTCCGAATTGAAAGTGGCCATTCTTTTTCTGTTTTGTTATATATAAAGAGCTATTAGCTGAAGACAAATATGTTGTTTTGGTGTTTAAAAAAAAAAAAAAGCTAATAAAGAAGCCTGTGGGTTTTTTTTAATTATTTCATTGAGAAACTACAGTTGTATAGGAGGTGTAACCAGTTCTAGTTTTCTCCTGCATGCTTACAACCTAGAAGTGTCCAGGAATGAGGGAAGGAAAAAAAGAGAAGCAGAAACTTCTCATTTCCTTCAAAGGCACAGCAGCAGCTGCAGTGTTGACTTGTGAATGTGGCTGTTGGGTGATTGCAAGTGTATGTGAACAGCTGGCCAATAGGGTGGGCAAGGATGATCTGCTTGGGCTGGGCTAAGGATTTGTCACAAAACAAGCATTTGGGACAGAACGGCAGGGTGTTAACCAACACTGAAAAGCACAGGGAAACTTTATTAAAGGATAAATAAAAAATAAATAAAAAGGAGCAGATTTTGACTTTTGCTCTGAATTAGTATTTTCTTTGTCATTTGAGATATTTTCTCAGATGTTCATATGTGACATCAATGAGTACATTCTTTTCTCTTTTTAAGACAATTTGATTCACTTTGCATAGAACAGCCTGGGTTGCAAAGGACCACAATGCTCATCTGCTTCCCAGCCCCTGCTGTGGGCAGGGACACCAACCAGCAGACCAGGCTCCCCAGAGCCACATCCAGCCTGGCCTGAAATGCCTGCAGGGATGGGGCATCCACATTACATCTCCAAGTTACAATTACATACTACAAGTGTAGTGTGTCTAAACCAACACAGCAAATGCTACCCTTTGCCTGTTTTGGGCATTCATACCTCAACTGGCACTGAGATAATGGGTAACCACTAAGTAATAATAATACAGAGCTACTAAAGCTTAGAGGGACAGAGGGCTCTGCACGCAGTAGTGGCAAGTAGATGAAAAATCCTTGAGTCATTTTTGTGAAGCCTGTTTGTTTTTAAATCTATGGAAAGAAGCTCAGCAGCTGGCTACACTCAAGTAATTTTATTTGTTTTACCGTGTGTGAACGTACTGAGACAGAGCTCAATGTTGTAAGAGCAATCAGCTATTATAGATCAGCATTACATACTTTTCTTGTGTTAAAACTGAGAGCAATGTCACCCTTCACAAACTTGTGTACTAGTTAATAAGAGAAAACCCAGAGAAAAGGAATATCCTCTGACAATCATGGCAACAACAGCACCTGGTTCATTCTTGGTTGCGGTCAGAAATGTGGTTTCTCTCTCTCAAAGCGTTCTATTGTTCATCAGGCAGCCTAACAAAGTTCTTTTGAAGGTTTGTGATCTATTTTAATGTGACCAGAGTTAGATTTTAATACAGAACTCAGTTTGTTGGTAGGAAGAGAATGCCTTCAAGTTGAGTGGGATAAGACTTTCCTAACCTGCTAATGTAAGAGACAAAGGGCAGAGAGTCTCTGCTTCATGGTTACTTGCAAGACTTTGGTGTCAAAGAAATGAAGTTGTAAACCCACGCCTCTGCCTGTAGAGTTCTGCTCTGAAAAAAGTGAACAGGTCACAGCAGGAGATTTTTTCCCTTTCTCCAGTGGTTGTAGAATTTTTATAACTTCCCAACTTCCATTCTTTCACTGGCATAAGGCAGCACCTGATGATTCTGTTCATCTATTAACTGTTGCCTGTGAGATAAAAGTGGAAAAGTTAGAAATTTGAGTTACCTGGAAGCCTTGGATAACGTCACACAAAAGGGTTGTTTGATTGAGGTCCGTAGATACAGAATGGAATTCATGATGTTTTTCTGAGGGTTAAGTTGTACCACAGAAAAAGTTGTTAACACACAGGCCTTACAGCTTTATTCTGCATACCTGTAAACTTCAACTGCAATCAGAGCCTGCCTGTCATACAATGATTCCAAGTGGAAATTACTTGTGAACTGAATTATAGCCTGTGACTCAGGGAAAGCACTCTCACAGTTTGTGATCATTTTCCAAGGTCATTCAGATCAAAACCTATACTGTACCTCCTTACATTAAACTGCACTCTCACAGTGCATATACAATCATAGTATTTTTCTTGTTGAGAAAACAGTTTAAGAACACTTTCTACTTATTTCCTCCTCCTCATAGGTACAGGTCAGACCAGGCCAACACTTTCAGCAACAGCAGTTGAAGTTCAGGCAGTTGCACAGAGCCAGGCATTGCTGGTTCCTTCCACCCCACACTGCTTTCTTGCTGCATGACCAAGAATGAGACATTTCAAGGAGTAGTAACACTAGAAGTTTATTAAGAGGCAAACATCTCTGTAACATCCACTTCAGACATTCCTCAGGAAAAGAACACATGCTTTGCTCATCATGAGAAGTAACAAGTTAACAGCCTGCAAATATACACTTAACCAAGGAGTAAAATAACTTAGTAACTCAGTGAAACTCACCTGAAGTCATTAGCAAAGTGGTACCGCAAGTCAATTAACTTTTTTCTATCCAGAGTTACCCAGCTACCACACTGGAAGCACAGCAGAACTGGGTCATTCACTAATTAAAAGCAGAGGTGATTTATAATTGCAGATTGTTGAATATATAAAAATAGAATATTATATGCAAGCATATAATGCAAAGGCAGAATCCAAAGTCAGCTGCATTTCTTTCTGTCAGAAAGCAAAAAAGCAAAGAACAGTGCATTAATTCATTTGCATTAGAACTATTTGAGATAGAGGATCACAGGCACCCACTTACCATGACTTGATGAAGGGCATCACTGAGATGCACTAATTTGAGCTACCTAGCAAGAAACCAGAGATAATCTTCAAAAATCAACATTATGAAAGGAAACCAGCACTTGTTTCCCAAGAGTCAACACCGCTCTGCTCTCAGGACAGCACACTCACCTTCACACTTGAAACTCCACCAAATTCAAGTAAGGCTGCTCTCCAGAAACTCATCTGCAACAACACAAGCAGTGGAAAAGTACTGTGGTTTCATTTGGCAAGTCAAACAAGGCTGACATGCTGTGCAGCTGAAGTAGATGACCTGTGAAAGTACTGGCTATTAACTTCAATCTCTTTTTTCTTTTCTCTTTTTTAATACAGAACATGCCATGCTAAATGGCCAGTGGCAGAAGCGGTCACCATCCTCCTCTTCCTCCAGCTGAGATAAGCTCACATCAGCAGCAAGGAAAGACATCCCAAACAAGCACAGAATAACTGCTAGGTGCTTTATTTCTTCCCTGAGGTAAGCAAAGATTTTCTGCTTTTTTGTTTTAAGCTGGAGACAGCCAGGTATCCACCTCACCAGGAAAAAACTCAAGCTACATCAGTCTAGCCATTCTATTTTAGTGCAGATACTCTTAGGCATCCCATTTCCACAGGTAACAGAGCATTCCTACCTGCAGCAGCAACAGTCTTTCCAAGAACTTGCTGCAAGCTGATAATTCTTCTCTAAAACTGACACATACTCACCCGCTTCCCACACCACCAAAGCAAAATTACCAGTATTTTTGGGGCACACATTGAAACAAGAACAAAGTTAAGCCTCGAAGTTCTCCTCCACAGTTTTGCTTCAGCAAGAAGGGAACAAGAGTGAGAAGCCTCTCTTAAGAGGAGACACCTAGGTTTTCACTTTTAAGTTTAGAAGTTTCTAAGTTGTCTGTCTGCTGTTTTGTTTCAGCACATTTGGTGAGAGGCACAGTCTTAAGTACTACAAGTAAAACCTTACCCACACAACGAGATTTGTTCTTATATAAATTAATCTAGAAATCTGAGTTGGCCTCATTACAGACTTCTCCTAAAGAGGAGGCTTCATAAGCATTTCCATTCATTTTCCTGTTAGACCCATTTTTTTTTTTGCTCCCCAGGAGGATTTGGCAAGAAAGTCACAGAGAACAGCAACCTTCCTCCTTCCTAACCATCTCAGCCTATTTCAGACATCACTGTTGCTGTAAAACATCCCTAGCATACATGGAGCATAGCCTTGTACACACTCCACAAGCACATTTCACCTCCAGCCACTTATCCAAACCCTTTTTAACTGTACACCCCAGGCACTGTAAACTACTACATAAATCAAGCAGCCTCTTAAGCTACAAACCAAGAGTTGTTTCAAAAAGGTTTTACCTCACCTTAAAGTAAACTGTACTTTTTCTTCCTGCAGAACACAGAACTCAGCTTCTCCCTTCCAGGCCAGGACCAAGAACACAGCCACCAAGGAGCCATCACCTCTCAGGGGGGGCTCCAGGTCAAGAGGGGCTCCCCCTGTTTCCCCCACTCCCCCCCCCCCTTAAGGGAGGGGCCACAGGGGGCTCCCCCTCACCACCACCCCCACTCAGGGGGAGCCCCCAGACCAAAACAAATTCCAATACTGACCAGCATCCACCCTCCCACCCAAAAAAAAAAAAAAAAAGACAGTGCAAATCCCAGTCAACAGCCCCATAAAAAAAACAAACAAAAAAGAACTAAGAGGCTCCCAGACACAGGACAACACAGCCACCAACACCAAATAAACATAACCACTCACCTCAAACCCAACCAACTTCAAAATCTACTAAAAAAAAAAAAAAAAAAAAAAAGGCCACAGACACCATGTACCTCATCAGCCACTTGCACTTCATCTTGATAGAGTGCAGCTCCCCATCAAAAATTCTGACCTTCCTCTTCAGAACACTCCAAACTCCTGAACAAGGGCTGCTGAATCTCCGCTGCAGGCACTGCTCAAAACACCTTTAAGCCTGAAAAAAAAAAAAAAAAAAAAAAAAAAAAAACAAAAAAAAACACCCATACACCACAGTGAAACTTTGCCAGGACAAAAGACACACTGGCACAAAGGCAGCTCTAAACTCCATCCCCGGGACACCACTGGCAGGTCACAAACAAAAAACTCACCTCTCTCTGCAGAGGCAGCAGTTGCTACCAGGATCCTTGCTCCAGCACTGAACCTAAAAGAGCTGTGAACCACCACCAAGGCACCCTTAGGGGTCTGTGGCCCTCAGGTTGGAAGGATCACACCCCTGCTACTCACCGCTGATGAAACCTCATGTTCAGGCAATCCTTGCAAAAAGCAAAACAAACTTGTCTGCAGCCTTCACCCTGAAACCAGATTAAAAGAAAAAAAGTCAGAGCAGTAGACAATTAGAAAGGCTCCTCCAAAAATTACCCTGTTGCAATCCCTTGCTACAGCACCTTACCCAGGAAAGCATCCTGACTCAACTTAAACGTTCCCAGAGAAGCACGCTTGATACCTTCTCAACTAGACTATACCATAGCTCTCACAGAGAAATCATTCCTCCTTCCGATTGTAAAAAACTTATGGTGGTCAAGTGCATGAATATCATCCCCAAAGCAACCACACTTTACAAACTTAATAACATTAGGGACATCCCACTCACCTTCCCTTCTCTTGGTAAAGCAGCCATAGGTTGGTGAACATCCTTTCCTCAGAAGGGAGATGCTCCAAGCTCCTCATGTTCTTTGTTGCACTACTGCAACTACTGCACTCTGTACAAGTTTCTCATCTTGTTGACCTGTAGAGACAAAGAAGTGAATGCAGTAGTCCAGACACAGGCTCACCGGGGTGGAACCCTATTGCTCTCATTTTCATACAGCCCAGGATAGAATTTGCTTTGTGGGGCACCCTGCTGGCTCGCAGCTGAACACCAAGTCCCCCTCAGGTTTCCTTTCCAGCAGGCCACTCACTAACATATAGTGCATGTTAGCTGTGCAGCCTCATACCTGCTCTCCTTGAAGTTCACTGGGTCCTGCTGTCAGCTGCTCCTCCCAGCTTCACATCATCAGCTCCCTCTCTCTTCATCCAGGTCACTGATGAAAAATAAGCACAGTAAGATGCAGTACCCACCCCACATAACAACATCATTACAGCTTCTGACTACACTGCTGAGCCTGCCCATCCTCCCTCAATCACCAATCTCACTCTCGACAAGCACCATTACAAGCACACTGCCACAAACAGTGTTAAAAGCCTCACTGAAGTCAGGTGTGCAACATCCCCTGCTCTTCTCTCATCTGAAGAGATGGTTATAACCACATAGAAAGATCGTAGAGAATGCTATAGAGAGCCAGCTGGCAGTGGCTTCCGCCAGCTCCCTCGGCACACACTGGCACATCCCGACAGAGCCCAGGGAGCTGTGTGCATCAGTTTTGCCTAGCTGGTATTCACCTCCTCCGCAATCGAGAAGTCATCCTTCCTCAAAGGCTCTTTCCTGTGGGATCCAGGATTCTCAAGGAGCAGTCTCTGCAGTCTCAGTCCTGATGGCTAAAGCACAGAAGGAGTTCTGGGCCCCCGCCTGCTGAGATGGCAGGCCCACACCATCCCTAGTCTCCTTCTTGCTGTTCACAAGCTTGCAAGCTTCTGTTACCCTTGACCTCCCCAAAGGTGATATTACCTGGGCCTCCCATCTCTTCCTGCTCCTCTTTTGGGGGCTCCTTGCTCTCCTACCATTTTCCCCTCACTTTCTTGCTCCTAGAGAAGTGCTCCTCCAGAGTGCAGAAAAAGGAATCACACCAGCATCAGCAAACTCTTGCTGGTCCCCTTCTGATGCTCTAACTGCAGGGATTACTCCCTCTAGGCTCTTTAAGAGGGCACAGCAGACTCCCTCAAAGTCTGCTGTCTCTATCCTACTTACTGCTTTGCTTCTTCCACATGAGATACTGAACTTGACCCTCCCTCAATAGGGAGAACAAGCTCCTCTATCACCTCTGTCCAAGTTTTTTACTTTCAACACACTGCAGAAGCCTCATGCAACAAGCATGCCTGGCAGCCTTGCTTTCCTAACTATTATCAGGGCTGATTGAGCCACCCTGCCAGCTAATGCCCACAGCTGTAAGGCTGCTTTCAGCTGTGCACAGATCTTACCTACTTTCCTCGTCCTGGTTTGTCACCGACACCCTCCAGGGATGTTACCCACCTTCACCTACCTATTGAGTCTCACACGAGTGCTCTCCTCTTCTTTACTCATCCCTAGGCAGGGCTCCATCCAGCTCTCTCACCTCAACAGCAACTCCATCACCCTGCTGGTTTGTCATGCTGAAAGAGAACACAGCCATCCCAAACAGCATTCCAGTCATGCAAGCTGTCCCAGTGTGCCTTCACAATGGGAATGAGATCGTGCTTCTAAAGATAAATGTAAGGAGGGGGTAAACACACAGTCCCATCCTGCTGCTAGAAGCAGGAACTCACCTACAGACTCCCAAACACTCGCTGGTTTGGGATGAGCAGAAGCTCTCCACAACCCTCGCTCAGTCTGCAGTAAGATAACGCTTGGCTTTAGTGACTCTTTGAGTTGCTTCTCACTCCCAGCTGCGCCGAGGCTGCAGGAATACAGCCCCGTCCTGCTCGTTCCCATTGACGAGAGCGGGAGGAACTGAAGCGCCCGCTAAAAAAAAAAAAAAAACAAAAAAAAACCACCCAGGGATAGAAAGATGAGAGAACCGAACGCGAGAAAAGGCAGGCAGCGATGCAACGCCGGCTCTAAAAAGCCGAAGAAGCCTGGCGACAGCCCTGTGCCGGCCCCAAGAAGAGCACGGTGAGAGCCCGGCAGCCTCTTACCCCGAACGAAGAGCCCTTAAGAACCACCGAGCGCTCACCGCCTCCGGGGTCCCATTACAACCAGCACGGCTCATCAGTTGGGGAGAATCTTGAAGCCGCTCTGCAACCTAAAAACAAAAAATAAACAAGGAACAGAGAACATGAAACAGAGCTCCAAAGTTTCGCTTCCAAAGCAGCCCCGACGGCACCGGGAGCGGATAAAGAAACGCACCCGGCTCCGGCACGCCCGGCGAGGAACTGCCCAGAGCTCCCTCTTAGCTCCTAGCAGCCCCCCGGAGGAGCTTAAGAGGCTTTGGGGCGGGCCCTGCTCTGAGCTCCGGACGAGGCGCAGCTGTGCCCGGCACCTGCCTCGTTAGCGCAGCCGGGCCTCGTTAGGGCGGGCCCGGGGCTTTGACAGGTAGACACGTGGACTCTAGATCTGAATGACGGACTTAAATTGCGCTTTGAAGTTACTTTGCGAATGTTTCTCTGCCCCGTTGCTCAGAGTTACGTCCATTTGTCATAGAAATCACTAGGAAGACCTTCCGTGAGATTTTAAACGTATCTAGCTAAGAACATGGGTACACTGTAAAGACTTCAGTGATGGAATTCCCTTGACGTAGCATCATTCTTAATTTACTATCCTGAAAGTTGGACTGTGCTGCTTTTTAATTTTTAACACTGCAGAACTGTGAATACTTTTATTGCATGTTGTTATGGACATCAGATGCAACAGGTGGGAAAAGAAGGGAGACCTGAATGTGAGAGTGATCCTGCTGGAGGTTCTGTGACAGCTCGTCTCCCAGCTGAGCAAAACCCTGACGTTTCCTTTAATGATCTGAGGGAATCGTTCTGGAAGACAAATAGCGTCGTAGCACAGAGCTTACAGCTACTGGTGTGAGCTGGTGCTGCTTTCTGAATAGTTCCAACCCCCTGCTATGTGCAGGGTCGCCAAGCACTGGACCAGGTTGCCTGGAGCCGTATCTGGCCTGGCCTTGAATGCCTCCAGGGATGGGGCATCCACAACTTCCTGGGGCAACCCGTTCCAGTGCCTCACCACCCTCTGAGTGAAAAACTTCCCCCTGATATCTAATAAACCTCCCCTGATCTCAGTTTAAAACCGTTCCCCCTCGTCCCATCACAATCCACCCTTGTAAACAGCCATTCCTCCTCCTGTTTATATGCTCCCTTCACATACTGGAAGGCCGCTATGAGATCTCATCCAAGCTAAATGATCCCAGTTCCTTCAACCTTTCCCTCACAGGAGAGGTGCTCCAGCCCTTCGATCATCTTAGCTGCCCTCCTCCGGACCCGCTCGGCATCTCGATGCCTTCTCTAATCTGCATTCTTAATTCAACTGCTATTTAGTCAATAGTTTCCAACGTACAAGCAGTGCTTGCTGCAAGCTATGCTGCACAAACGGGTGTGAAAAGAGTTCATTCAGAGGGAAAAGGTGTGGCTGGAAGGTTTCCGGCGTTCCGAGCCACATATTCTTCTTCTTAGTCCAAAACAGCTGTCCCTGTACGCTACACAACATACTGAATCTTCACAGCACAAACAGCACAGCGCAAACATCAAGGCTGCGTAGGACGCACGAGTTTGTGCGCTGACAGCCCCGGCTGACGGCCCCGTGACGGCGGCTCAGCGGCGCCCCCTCGTGGCGGCACGGGGCAACGGGCAGAGCGCTGGGAGCGACGTCCCGTCTCCCGGCCGCCGTCTGTTGGTGCCTGCGCCCCTCGACTCCCTCCGGCTGAAGGGATCGGTGCTCCTGCGTGCCCTGCGGCTGCCGGCGCGGAGTAAAACTTGCTGGGATTTGCATTAGCGGGGGAAAATTCATCTTCAGCCCTTCACGAGCTCAATAGACTCAAAACCGCCCTCACCGTAAAAGATTTTTATCGTATACTTAACGTGAATCTGCCCTCCCTGAGCTGGAAGCCGTTTCCCCATTTTCTGTCGCCACGGACCCTGCTGTGCAGTCTGTTCCCTCCTTTCCTGGAGCTCCACCCGAGATACTGAAAATAATTGTCTTTAGCCAGGATGATATTTTTGCGCTGTCTAATCAAGTAATTTGCTGATTATAGGCTACGCGCTGGCCCCGTTGAAGTCAGTGTGAATTCTCATCGGGATTTCAAGCAGAGTGGGATTTCAGCCTGTGTCTTCTAGGAGAGATCAAATGCGTATCTCACTAACCCTGCTGTCCTTAAGCTTTTTTCCACCTGTACACACAGGGTTCGCCTTCTCTAATATACGACAGAGTATTTAATTCACCTTCATCCTATTCACCCATTTCTTTGCTTCCTGTGTTAATGTCTTAACGTCCTCCAACACCTGGCAAATGTGCAGCACGTCTGGCTGTCTGAGGGATGTGCTCCATCCAACATTTGAGCAGGCCATGATCGCCCCGGTACTCTTGCAGCATAAAGAGCCACGTGTAGCTGCGCTTCGTCCAAACAAACAAACTCATTTCCCTATAAACAGGAAAGATTATTCTGACGTAGCAAGGTTTGCAGAGGGATTTCAGAACAGGCTGCGGGGCTTATATTCATTTGTGATCAAAGTCATCTCAACCGTAAAACTTATTACCTCCCTTACCTCCCTCCATCCTCCAGGCTCTCAAAACTTCAAAACTTTAGCAAGATGCAACTACAAATAAATGCAGCTCAGCTTACAGAGAAGCTGCTGACTGGACTGACAGGGCAGGATTTATCCCTAAAGCAGCCGCATGGAGGAGAGCAAAACCGCGTGTGGCAGGAGCGGGCCCAGCAGCATCTGCCTAAGAAGGCTCTGCCACCACAGAGACAATCTCGAATTTATCTCAGCCCTAGCATTTGTCTTGTTAGAGACAGGAATGTTCCCCTATCCGCTTTGCACTTTGTTCTATTTCATACTGTTATGGCAATCTTTTTCCACTTTTTAGCATTCGCTTTTCAGAATGTTTCGTGTCTTGAATAAAAAACGAAGCCATGGCATAAATCAAATTAAACATGGCCTGCTCTTTTTCTTTCTAGGTGTATCTGTTGAGCTGCATTGTAAGTTTAGCGTTACTGATCCGGTAGTTATTTTAACTACTGCTTGGCTTCAGCCCTGTTGATATATTGGTTATTTTTATATGTGGTAGGCCGTTTGTGTGACTGATTTTACAATTCCTGCTGCCTGCTGAAGGACATCCCTAGAAACAGACCTCATAGCTGTATTCTCAAGATGAAAGCAATTGGACAGAAGTACCTTTCTGAAAAGAGGGACCTCTATTACATTTACTTTTTTTTTCTGAATTGCTTGCTCAAACCAATTGGTTGGGTTATTGGAAGAAATGAAACGGGGAAAAATTGATAAGATTCAGGTGTCGGTTTGTGGCATTAAAGCCATTTCTTATCCTTAGCAAATGGTGACTTCTGCATCAAATTCCAGTGTATGGCCAAAATATAGCACAAGGGAGAAAATGGTTATGCTTATCATGGTAGCACGGGGTTAGGGGAGGTGAATACAAGAGCATCAGAAAAGCGCA